TACATATGTAAAAGCAACCAAATGCACCTTCAATATTGATATGTGGATCATTCCATGTAAAAGGGGAAAACGAATATTTCAGTAGTAACCTCTTGTTAAATGACTGCATTTCATTCAAAAATATTAAATTAAATAAAAGGAGGCTTTAATTTTTTTCTATGGCAACCTTTACTTCATACATATGTAATTACTTTCACCAGTCACAAGGGCATGCCTCACTATTCATAATTTTAAAGATTTCTATGAAGATTAAATCAGCCTAATTTTTAATAAAGACCAAAGTGTATAGTATATAATTTATAACACAAAAAACTGGCTTAATAATTAATTATTTTTACTAAAATTCGTATTTGAGCGCACAGAGCTAAAATAGAGGGATTTTCCGTGTCCCACCAGTCACAGTCATTCAAATAATTGTTACTAAGATCTTAGAAATTGTTGGTATTTTTTTGAAAGGAATTGTATACATGCCATATACATTTAACTGTTGTCCAAGCTTCGACGACATAATTATTATTCATAATTGATAACATTCTGGAGTCAAATGTCACACGTCACAATGGAATGGCCCAAAACCTCGTTGAAACCACTCAGTGGGAGTCCTTTTGATCGTGCTTCTGAAGTATTTGCAACCCCATAGCCTCTATACGAGCCAGGCACGCACATGCGTTAGGTATCTTCGTACAACACCAATACTCGACACCTGAGTGTCCGGCATGCGGCGAGACCCCACATGGCTCGAAACATCTCTTCGCATGCCCGGAAAACCCGACAACCCTAACGGCCTTGTCCCTGTGGACCAACCCTACAGAAGCTGCACGCTTCCTAGGGCTGCCGTTAGTGGAACTTGACGACAACGACTGAGATACCAACCGTCCTGGGCGGGGTTGTTGTAGCCGCTACAACAACAACAACAACAATGGACCTATCTCGGCAGCAGGGCTTAAAAGCCTCATCTCAGACAACGTTTCAAGACAAAGCGACTTCTTTTCGTGTGATTTCATAAATCTGATGTTGGAGAAGAAAATAAGAGCTGCGGAAATTAACCGCTCAGGTCTAATACATTAAAAGAGCGTACAATTGCTGGCGTATGCCGATCAGTGTTGCCGTTTTAGCCCTTTGGTGGCTAGATTTAGCTACCACATACTTTTTTTGGCCACATAAATTTAAAATTGCCCCTATCCCTTTTTTGAGGCCTTTGGGGAATTTACTTATACTTGGCATGAAAAAGTTGTATATGCTTAATTTGATCTCATTTTTTTTTCATTTATGTAAGAGACGAATTTTTAAACTAAGAAAGACTGATATATATACATATATGTATTGTATGTTCCTTACCTTTTTATACATACATACTGTAAAAGTGTTAAGGCTGTTAACTTACGGCCCTTGATTTGTTAAATGGCCCATCAAGCCGATTGACTGTGTATGTTCTTGTGGTGTGATTGTACCAGCTGCTGGTGTCGTGAGTGGTGAAATTAGCTCAATTTTCTAAGTAAAGCCCTGTATGTAGCCCAGTAAGAACCCTATCTTACGCTTAGTACTACAAAAAGTTTATTTTACTTGGGGCTCGTGGAGAGATCTAACGAATAATCTCATTTCACAGCAGTTTTCTCTTTCTTTCACATGGAATTCGCTATTATATTATTATATGTGCATATATGAAGTTGTCTCTTTTCAATCAAATACTATTTTGCGATTAATAAAGTGTTATATAATACAAAGAATGGCATATGGATATCGCTAATGTGCAAATGTGTATTGGAGAATGCGTTAGGTCGGGCTTGCTTAGAGATTTTGGATAATATACTAGTATGTGAATATGTATGTATGTGCGTATGTACATGAAGGCAATAGCGATCGAATAGGAACGACCAGACAGGCATTATAAACGACAGTTGAAAAATCTCCTTCTACTGAGACGTACATATGTATCTGCGCTGAATAACAATATAAAAACAAAGAAAAATTTACAATATTTAAAACTACATTTGACAGTTTTAGTGAGGCATTAGTTATTTATTTCGGAAGTTGATGGCTGCTTATCAAAAAATCGTTATGCAGTGAACTGTGGTGAAACATTTAAAATAACCAGCATTTTAAAAGAGACCATACTTTGAAAACACAACCCAAAATTGTTGGTTGCCGCATCAGACAAAAAACACAAGCGACTTTGCGGTGTTAAACGAAGAGGCGAAAAACAAAGAAAAATACCGCGGCAAAACCTACTTGAAACCATGATACAATAATTTTTAGAAGGTAGTTTCACTTCAAAATTTTTGACATAAACCGTGTCTGTGACACACACACGCAATGTGGCCACTGCTACGATATTCAACTTGGGGATTTTCGCTTATTATTTCAGATAGGGTGCATTCCAAAACGTCAATAGAAGTAGATCGTAACGCCAAATGTGCGCAGCCAAGGTTAGATGCTAGTTTTCAAGTAGGTTGCGCAAGTTAGACTTTTTCTTCTAGTGCGGTTTAGAAGTAAAAGGTATTTTAGCGCTTTGGAATGCAGCCATATTTTTTAACAGAACATGTAAATATTTACATATCTTATAACTGATCACTTAATTTTTAATATATCGAGTCCTATTTATATATATTTTATTTGAGTTTAGATGGACAACAGTATTATTAAAAGCTGGCTTTTGCATAGGACTGTTAATTTTTTCATATCTTAATGTGTATTTAAAAGTACGCTTACGATACTTTTCGTGAGCATGCTGAGAGGCAATTTAAAAAGGTGCATACTTTTTATCGTAAACATACACATTTAAATCTAATAAACCCATGAGAAAGCAAGAGCTTCAAAAAATATCCGGCAAGATGAGCCACGCTGGACATAGGGATGGCAGCCACGGTTGCTACTTGTTTAAAAAATAACCAACCAAAATCTGAGAAAAAAACAAAGGAATTTAAAAAACCCCATATTTATTTTTCACGCATCTATTACAAAAAGCAAAACTTAAGGCAGTGTCACACGATTGGACATTTGCCCAAAATTGGTGAAAATCTTATCCCAATCGTGTGAATCCACATGTTGTTTTCCTTATCCCAATCACGAAAAACAATTTGTTAAAATTTTTCAATAGAAGTTCCCTTTTATTGTACCAATCGTGTGACTACATAAAAATTGTCGTCCCGTTTTTTTTTTTTTTTTATTTTGTACCGACAGGCCAATATAAAAAATTTTTACGAATCGTGTGACACTGCCTTTATTAAAATAAAAAAAATTATTGAAATACTTGTGCGTTCAATCACATATTTACTTTTTATATGCCAATTGTTACAAATCGTTACTAGTACTTGCAAGTTTTTACTGGAAATGCATTCAATAACCCAAAAAATCTGCAAAAGAGAGCGTAACAACCCGAGAGAGCTGCAAATACTTGCAAGTAAAAATTTTACAAGCAGGAATTTGCAAGAGTCAAAAAGTAAGGTTATGTTGCAAAATAAAATATAAACACAGTGTTTAAGAGGACGCGGGCCGCGATGCTGGTAACAGAGGAAGAGGAAGGCCTCCTCTGCGTTGGAAAGACCAGGTGGAGAAGGACTTGGCTTCACTTGGCATTTTCAATTGGCGTCAGTTAGCACAGAAGAGAAATGACTGGCGTGCTGTTTTGGACTCGGCCAAAATCGCTTAGGCGGTTACAGCGCCAAATAAGAAGAAGAAGAAGTTTAAGAGGATGCTTCTATGAAACATAAGTTGCGTTCCCTAACTCGCAAAAAGTTGCAAGAATTTACAGAAATTTACCAGAAAGCGTTCCCGTACTCGATTCACTGGTAAAGTGGAGGAAAAATGGGAGAGTAAAATCGATCCTCTCTTTGTCAGAAGTTGCAAGATTTTACCCGAAGAATGTTTGCTGGTAAAATCTGGTAAGGCGTCAAACCATCAGCTGTTCAAACGATTTGAAAGTTGAATAAGCCAAAAAAAATTTTATCTGCATTTTCACTTTCTTAAATATATCGCAGCGAAGAAATATCAAGTTTTTTAAGTATTTTTGTTAATTTTCTTGCGCATTTGCATATAATTTAGCAGATCGGCAAATGATCTAAAACTGCTATGTAAACAAAAAATGGCGCCCACGGTGTATTTGACAGTTTTACCAGTTTTTAACCGAAAAGCGTTTCCGAACTTTTTGGGTTTTCTCTCTTTCTCTGAGAGGAGTTTTACATTTTACAAGTGCTGCAAGTGCTTACTGAAAAGTTATTGAATGGGCCTATTAAAAACTGGAATTTAAAAAATTCATTAAAATGATTACTCAACACTTCAACTTGGCCAGAAGCGAAAATATATTAGGGGTCTTCCCTTAAACTTGTAAAAGCCTCGTAAACCTCGTAACTTTACGAGCCTCGTAAAAGAACTGTCAAAATTTGTATGGAGCTCTATTTACGAGCCCCTCTTAAATTTAAGAGGCAAATTTGATGCTTGAACGATCAGTGTTGTCGAAGGGCCGAAATTTCATACCAAACTGTATGATAAAATAATGAAAATAAACTTACTGTATTGACTTAGGTTTTCTGCTAATTTTCGGCATTTGTAATTGTATTTTAGCCAAGAGTGATAGAGACAAGATGGCGGGATGATATTGAAAATACTACGAAACAAAAATTGCTTCACAAAATCTTGGTTGATCTGTCAAACAGTCACTTTACGTAACTATTTACACCTTCGCAAAGCGGGCAACAAAAGTATATTACGTTGGCCAAGTTACGTTACGAAAATTAAGTCTAGACTAGTTGAGCCTTTAGGAAGAAAATTATTTAAATTTTTTTGAGAATTTCTATACTAATACATATATTTACTTGGCTTTGCTTTGTTTTACTTTTCCAACGTCAAAAGCTGCATCTTTTTCTTAAATTGGCACCACAAAAAATGCGAAACACGATTTCTGTCAGATAGCTAACATGGCGGATAAGAAGAAAAAGTGAAACTACCCTTTAAAAGTCATTGTACAATAGAAATTGTGTTTTTCCATTTCTATTAAAATTGAAGTGATTCGTTTAGTTTGATGCTAAAAACTACAAACAAAAAAAACAAGTTCGAATCTATATTTTACCAATTTGCAGTGTAAATCACTGTAAAAACGAAAATAATGAAGTCCTTTATTTCGGTCGCTCTCTTTGCGGGTATAATTGCCCTAACCACGGCTGAAGATTATGCTTGCCACGATAATGTGACTTTCGGCTGCAGCACCGGTAGTGAGTACCTACATACTTCCATATGTACATATGTACACATGGGCGTAAATAGAAACAATACTGCAGAATCTTTCAAAATATCTGTATTACAACCTAACCTAATATAAGCTTAAATTAGTGGTGACATAACCATAAGTCCATAACCATATAAATCCGCTGTTCCAACCAACACGCCATAGCCATAGCCAGGGCCGTCGAGAGTGAACTCGGGCCCGGGACTAAAAAATCACGCGCCCCTATATACAAAGTGTATAAAATTAAAAGCATATGGCCCAAAGCGCCGAAAATGAAACCGAGGGGAACAATTTTTTTTTTCTAAGGATTCGCAGATTTTTTATTATATCTGGGTCATACATATTCTAAGGTATCAAACAATATACATAAATATTTACACTAATCTCCTTCTCTCAAACATGAAAATTCACCTAATCATGAGACACCTTTAAATTAGTGAAAATTAAAAAACCACAACATGAAATTAAGGGTTGTTTATATGTAAGGGCCACCATTTTTGCATTATACTTGCTTCTCTTCGATTGCCCTGTGTGACTTTGAAGTTAATAAAAAAAGTAAGTGCGCCTGGGCCACACTGTAGAAGTGAAACTTACGTTACTATCTATCTATACATACACACATCTGCTTTTGCTTAAGGTTCTATTTTTTCGCTTTTTTCTAGCAATGTAGATCCCTACCTCTACCACTTTCGTTTTAATAACATTCATGCTATTCTGTTTTTCCATTATCTTCATTTTTATCATTTTACTCTATCGATAACAAAATCGATTATAACGTCCATCAAAATACCGATACTAAAATCGATGACAAATTCGATAAAAATTTCAATAGCAACATCGATAATACCATTGGTAGCTAAATCGATTAGAAAATCGATAAAAATATCGATACCAAAATCGATAAATATCGATAACAAAATCGATAAATATCGATAAAAAATCTATAAATATCGACAACAAAATCGATAAATATCGATAACAAAATCGATAAATATCGATAACAAAATCGGATAAATATCGACAACAAAATTGATAAATATCGCTAACAAAGTCGATAAATATGGATAACAAAATCGATACTTATCGATAACAAGATCGATGAATATCGATAACAAAAGCGGTAAATATCGATAACAAATCGATAAATATCGATAACAAAATCGATAACAAAACCGATAAAAATATCGATTATTTTATCGATAGGTCTCGAGAATCGCGAAAATCTCTAAAATCCAAAAATAGTTCCCAGATTGAGTCTCTGTGTCTCTCTCTATATCCTTTCCTCTTTAATTACCTCTATTTTAATCTTTCTTCCCCTATCTTCATCTTTGCTTTTATCGGTATCCTCATCCTGCTCTTTGTCTTTACCTTTATGTTCATCATTTTTTTTAGCTACATATTCCCCTTCACATTTGTTCTTATATATAGTTATAAGTAAAGTGTTTAGATTTACCTTGGTCTTCATTTTTGCCTTTATCTTTACGCATCTTTGTTTTTGTTGTTATTTTTACCTTTGCCTTTATCCTTTTCTTCATTTATGTACGTAGTCACCTTTACTTTCATTCTTGTATTGGTCTTTTTCTAAGTGTTATTCTTTAACCTTTTGTTAGCAAATTTTTGTTAAATTTATACCATATGCATACACATAAGAAGCACCTGTTTCAGCCCCAACCATTTCCGTTGCACCATTTTCGTTGCATCATTTCTATTGCATCATTTCCGTTGCATATACACAAGAAGTACTTGTTTCAGCCCCAATCATTTCCGTTGCACCATTTCCGTTGCATCACTTCCGTTGCATCATTTCCGTCCCAACCAGATCCGTGTGCAATTTCCGCTGAATTTGCCAATTTACTCCCAACCAACCAACCGCCGCTAAAGAAGTTTCACTTCAAAAAGTATTCGACAAACTAATCAGTGATTAGCTTTCTCAATGAAAATAAAGTCGGCATCTTTTTTTAAGGTAATGTCCAAAATATCAAAAAGTTTTTTTTGGCGCGGAATCCACTAGGCTAAAAAATGGAGAAGTCTGGTTTTCTTTGAGAATTTCGGCTTCTTCATAATAAAGCAGTTTGAAAAACGTCAATTTATAAAGCCTTTTAATTTTAAGCCTCCTTCAGTTTTTATGAATAAGGCCATACGTCTTTTTACTAATTAAATTTTCAGGTAAAAATATTTTTTATTTAGTTAGAGATAGGGCTCATTTGAAAGCAACATTGTAAGCTACTCAACGTGCTATTGACCCATAGTTAAAATTTATATTCTTTCTAACTCAAATAGGCTCAGAAAATAAAAATTACGTAGAAAAATAAAAAAACGCGAGAATTATGTTATTTCAAAAAGGAACGAGCCCAAAAGAAGCAAAATAAGAAGCTAAACGAAGAAGAAGATTTTCTGATTAAATAGTAAAAATCTATTAAAATTATTTCAAGTATTTTTCTAGAACTATTATTTTCCTTCAAAATGCACTCTCGAATGGTGCAATAAGATTTTTCCTTCAAAAGTTACGGCCATTTAAACTGCCGTGTCCTCGAATCTAACATCGCCACACCAATTTCGAAGGGCTAAAATAGTACTAAATGGTATAGAGCAAGCAAAAGTGGCCATTGAAAATCTCAATATCTTGGAAGAGTTGTAAACTCGAGCTCGAGTTCTAAGCAGAAAATTACTTCTGAAACGACTGCACAGCATCATAACCTTTCAAATCTGTATTCAAAATTATAATGTTCCTAATTTCTTTGGATTGCGTGTCAAATCGCAAGTCTACTGAATTCTTGCTACTTATTGCATAAAACAGACTAGAAGCCATTTAAAAAACCTAATCCTAATCTACACATACATATGCATGTATATCGCACAGGTAACGTAAGAGGTAACAGGTTATTGAGTTATATAAGGAGGGCAGACTTTTTCTATAATATATAAAGCAGCTTTAAAAAGTACTTCCAAAAATTTTAATGTAACAGCCCGCTGTTGAAACATTTATAACTCCTAGACAATAGGAGGTTCAATATATTTTAAGTATACATATATTAAATATTGCCACATACCTATGCTTTCAGATGCAAGAAGAAAAACTATCCGAAAGTGGTATTCTGGCGAGTTTCAGATGGTATTTGAAAAACACTGCGAGCCAAAACGTATTGTAATTTATAGAGTCAGAAACAATCAGCACGAATCGGAATATATTTATAACTAATTATTGTTATTCTAATATTTCGGGCCCCTTAAGAAGCCCGGGCCCGGAGGCTCACCTCTTTTTCCCACCCTCTCGACGGGCGTGGCCATAACCATAGCTATAGAGACCAATTAAATTTTGGTTTTCCGCCATAACCATAATCAGCTGATATCTGAAGTGCGAGTAACGCACACGCAACACCCTCCACAAAAAAATTCTAAAAAATCAAAAGTAATTTTTAGAGACTTGAAACTTGCACATTATTTTACTACAATTTAACAGGCTATAAGACTGCATACTCGAAAATTATCTAGATGTTCGCTGTCAGAATTCCACTGCAGTATGGCCATAAAAATTAACATAACAAACAGAACAGCTGCAGCGAGTGCTGCATATTTCAAACAAGCGGATAGCCAAAGGCCCAAGCGGTGGAAAAAAGCCCATATTTGGTATATTTGTACCACAGTGGCAACCGAGGTTATGGCGTTATGGTATGTCACCACTAATTTAAGCTATAAACGCACGCCATAAAATAGGGGTATTCACGAACCGGTGCATACTCGTCTAGCATGGTGCATAAATAGCATAAATAACATGATTGTTGTTGTTTCATGTGTTCAAACAACAACAAAATTAGCCAATCATGCTATTTATGCTATCTATGAAGCATGTTAGACAGTGTGCACCGGATCGTAATACCCCTTATTTTTTTTTTTTTTTTTTGTGTCACCCGAGATTGGCTTGTGTGCATTTGCATTTGATTTCATTGAGCGAAACGTCAAATCAAAATCTCATGCAAAACAAGAATCGGAAATTGAGTTAACTTTTTACGCACGCTGCCAATTTGGGTTGGTCGCATGATAAATTTTTGACAGTAAATTGCCGGCGTGCGTGAATATTAAGTTGGCCTGTTAACTTCCTGTTTGTGTGTATTTTCTCTCCTCTCTCTCTCTCTCCGCAAACTAGATCCTGTTATTTGCCATTCCCTCTATGCTGGAATTCAGAATGTCGAGTCCGGCATTCAATCCTACATCAACTTGAATATGCACAAGTCTTATCAATACCTTTCGATGTCCACCTTCTACAACTCCTACCAAAAGAATCGTCCTGGCTTCACCAAGCTCTACAAAGAAATGTCGGACCGCTCATTCGACGATGCTATCGAGCTGATTAGGCATGTGACCCGCCGTGGCGGTCAGGTTGACTTCCGTGCTATGAGCCAACACCCCAACTCGGTTGCTAACAGCAAATTGAGCTTGGATGAAGATGAATTGCACTCACTGGGCACCGCTTTGGATGTTGAGAAGATCTTGGCAGATGGTGCCACCCGTTTGCACTTGGAAGCCACCCATGGACGCCCACATGACCCACAAACCGCACATTTCGTGGAGGAGAAATTCTTGGGCAGACAGGCTGAGTCCATCCGCAAGCTTTCCGGCTATGTCAACGATTTGTCGAAGATCATGAACAATCGCGATCCCTCATTGGGTGTCTACCTCTTCGATCAGTACTTGGAAAAGCAGAAAGCGCCAGCATCGCAGAGTAAAGCACGGATCGATTGGGATGTTTTGAACTGCTGTTGATTTAAAGTTCGTTCGGGAGACTATAGGTATTTCTTTAACTTTAAAAAAAATGCAAGTTCCAATTGAGCGCATTTAACCGAGTGCTATAACATATTTGTATTTTTCATTCTTATTATTTACCTGTTGTTATTTTTATTTTTTTTGTAAATTACTATAAATTAAACGGAGCTTTAAAAATATTTAAAACCTGTTATTCTGTTTATTTGGTATTGAATTGTGGTACTTGATACTCGAAGCCCTTCAAAAAAATAAGTTAATAAATATGGCGACGGCGAGTACCGCAGACGATGGAACGATGAGCTGTATGAGCTTCACAACTACATGAACATAGTGCAGCGAATTAAAATACAGCGGCTCCGCTGGCTTGGTCATGTCGTTCGAATGGACACCGACGCTCAAGCTCAGAAAGGCATAGTTGGCATAGAAGAGAACCGACTTCTGTGTTTTGAGATAAAATAAACCAGACAAATATTTGCGCAAATACCAATTAGTGCATATAAGAATCGAATATGCATTCGAAAAAATCTTATTTGTACCAATTTGTAATTGCTCAAATATTTGTGTGGTGTATTTTGCGCATATGTTGAACTCGGCCAAAATCGCTGTCATGTCAGATTAAAACTTTGACAGTTGACAGCTGTCAAATAGACTGTACATTTTTTCTAAAATAAGAATTTTTTTTTTCAAGTGCCACTGATAAGGGTTTTCATCACGCTGTCACAAATTTTACGTCAAATTAAACTTTGAGAGTTCACGGCTGTCAAACGGACTGTTCTAAATTTTTATAAAAATGAGAAAATATTTTTAAAATGCGCTCGCATGGCCCTGAGCCATTCTGCGACACATCTAAAGAGTACACTGCAGAATAAGACAGTCAAAGAGATTCAAAACTCCTACCAGGAGGAGCTCCGGAAGACTCCCTTTCTGTAAAGACGGACTGTAGGTTTTGTGGGCTTGTGGAGGCAAGCCCAGACTTTATTCTATGTATCTGCCCACGAAAAACGAATCGTAGACTGATACAACTCCGAGAACGATCGTCTTCTCCATCTAAATTATAATCAGGGTTTAGTACAATAGATGTTCCTAGGTCGCCAAAGCCTGTACAGTAAAATTGTATGGTACTAGCTGGGTTTTAGTTTTACTAAATGTTAAGTTATCTACGTTATCTACAGAGGCCCCATCTAAAGCCAGAGCTGCGTCTTCGCAAGCATAAGGAATTGAATGCCCGGAATTCCTTTGAACGCTCTCAAACCATCCTGGTCGGAAGAAAATTAGAATTCTGCATGTTCTAGTTTTCACACAGCATTCGCTTAATTAGCTGACGTTTGTGAAAAGTATTAGGTGCGCTAGATGGCTTTTTCGTATAGCTCTATTAGAACATAATCCCATCGTAATATTTACACGCCTTGAAATTTAATGGAGAGTTTCATATGTATGTATGTACTACTATACTATATATATATTTTATACGACTGTGCCTATTCAAGTGGGTAAAAAAATTAGCAAAAACGCACAACTCAAGATATTAGACTTGATTCTTCCTCAAAGTGAGACCAAAGGAAAGTTTTTTCGACGCCTGAAAGTAAAGATACATATCGTCGTTTAAAGTACAAAACCGCGTATCGTCATTCTGCAAAACCGCGTAACCGACATTGGCTGCCAAGAATTGGATTTGCTCGCACAAGCCCTTGGCGCAATCATTATCCATTCGTCCTGAAATATACTAGCCAAAAATGCGATTTGTTTATAAAAAAGAGAACCATTTTGAAATATGAATGTTTTTACTCTCTAAAAAATAATTTATGCAACCTCACATACGCGGTTTTGCATTTTGTTGATACTCGGTTTTTCATTTTGTTGATACGCGGTTTTGTACTTTAAACGACGATATGTATATACATATATGGAAAGATACCTCTTGAAGGACAAAAATGTGCCTGTTGAAATATGCAGCTACATGCAACATTTCGTCCCGTTTCTGCCTTAACCACGTATCTACAAGTTTTGGGAAAACTAAAATTACCACTTATAACAGCTGTTTAAGCTTCACACTATTTGAAAATAGAACAAAGACTTAATGAGGGTGTTCACTACTGTTAGTGGAACCAGAAATATTAAGTAAAAAATGCGTTTATTGTATCTTAGGGGAAGAAATTATGCATTTTTTCTTACACTCTCTAAAATACCTCTATTGCAGATACGAATTTAAGTCACAAATGGGACGATTTACGACTTGCTACATTTCGCCGCGCAGAACCACCCGCTCTGCAAGTAAAACTTCAGCTTTCCAGATACCAGCTGTTACACCCACATTTTATAGTTTTAATAGTTTCCGAAATCGAAAGTTTAATTGCCGCACATTATTAAAATGCATAAATTAGGCCCACACTGCTGCCGAATTTAATGTTTGCACAAGTGTGTTGGCCATGCAAAGAGCATAAATATTTGTTACACAAAAATTAATATGCAATTAAATGCAAACGACAAAGGCCAACATGTGGGCATTTCCTGCGTTACGGACGTTCTATGCAAAGGCAATTTTTCGTCATGAAAACTATTATAGCAGCCTTTGGATTAAATTTACTTAAAATTGCCGTTCGGACGTTCCTAAAACGTACCTCATATTTCAGATAGCTGACAGTATTTGCATATAAAAAATTATGTACGGAACGTGGGTAGAACAATACAAATTTTATCTTTCTAAAAATGTTCAAAAATGCATAATTTTACTTAAGACCTTTAATTTTTTCCAGTCTTTTCCCCACTTGATTTTTTATTACATTATGGATTTTACTCTAAACACTACATATTTGCCGTGGGTATTGTAAAAAAATTTATTATATCGCAAATTTTTTCAACAAATATTTTCAAATCTACAATAGCTACCTTATAAATAAGCAAAAGAGTGCCAGAGGTTCACGTCGTATGAAAAGGAGACTTTAAACGGTATAAATTCTGAACCCTTGCAAGCATATTACCAGCGCCGAGAAAATGGACAGCTTTGCATTCAAAAATGGACAGCAAACAGCTTCGATGAGTATACTTGAGCCCCTATCGCACTTTTATCCAATTTGCCCTCTCGAATTTGTAAGTTATTTAGACAATTGTAGCAAAATTTTCGGTGAAAACTAGTGATGTGTTGAAATTTTTTGCCACATCTTCGACCAACGTTACGTAATTTTGACCAAGTTAAGGGCAAATCTCATGGCTGGTCATTAACCGTCGTTTAAAGTACAAAACCGTAAAGTACAGGACGAATGGATAAGGATTGAGCCAAGAGCTTGTGTGAGTAAATCCAATTTTTAGCAAAAAATGTCAGTTACATAAGTAAATAAAAAGTTTAGATAGATATTCAACAATTTTATTGAGCTTGAGGCCGTTTTTTGATGAAAGTAAAACAACAATAATATAAAAAGCCATAAATAACAAAAAAAAAAAACAAATAACTTTAGGACGAGTACACCTAAAAAGTTAAACACATAATATTAACAAAAACCAACCATATGATCAAGTCCAAATAGCAGCAGAATAGCTGCGCTTGATTGCAGTTGGGTTGACGTGGCGAACTTAGCTCAGTGGGTAGACCACTTGGCTTTATAATCCCAGGTCGCATATCACAATGACCGCGGTGAAGAAGTCTGATGAGGATATCTGGTGATCTCCGAAATAGCAGCCACTACTTCTACCTATGTATATGTAAATGATTATTGTTTCTCTTCCCCATTTTTTTTTTGTCAAAAACGGTGTCAAGCTCAATAAAATTGTTGAAAATAATTTGTTATAAAGGCCATAAATAACAAAAAACAACTAACTAAATAAACTTTGTTTTTAAATATAGATTTTCGAGTTTAAAAAAGCGAAAATTTCGAAAAATCGGTATTAGTTCGCAAACAATAACCCATTAAAAAAAAACACACACACAAGGCTATATGCAGAGTCAGCGGCCTAAACATACTCTAGAAATATTATAAATGTGCTTGTTAATTTACTACTGAAAGTGATTTTTGTATGTACATAGATCTGTGTCATTATTTTGTGGATTGGAGAGTAACCCAAACTAGCTTTTGTGTTACAATTCTGGCAAATAAAGTGAACGTTTTTGTTTTTATCTAAGAAGTGTATTTCTCGTCCGTAACCTTGGGGAAAAGCAAAACTTTTGACTTCACTTTAGACCATTAGTCACAACTTTTTACATAAACTTGTAAAAATGTACAAATGTTTTCATTTATTTAAAAATTTCTACCACTATTAGGAAAGCTTTTTGGAGGTACACTGAAAAAAGAGTCAGCTAAGTACACCTATTTCAATCAACATAAGATTTGGTAACTATAACCAAATCGGGTGTTGAGAGAAACATATTTAGTTGACGTAACTAAACTCTTTTCTCAGTGTATGTTTAGCAAATCGTTAATATCTCGCCGATTAATATAAAATTGTAGTGAAAGCTATCGATTGTCATTGTCAAAGTTGGCCCAGAAGAATTTTCATTTATTTGCTTTTGGTCGACTGTTTTCAGGAAGTGCCCACACCCAAATTCATATAAATATGCATACATACATACATACATACAAAAATTTATACATAACGGGTGATTTTTTTGAGGTTAGGATTTTCATGCATTAGTATTTGACAGATCACGTGGGATTTCAGACATGGTGTCAAAGAGAAAGATGCTCAGTATGCTTTGACATTTCATCATGAATAGACTTACTAACGAGCAACGCTTGCAAATCATTGAATTTTATTACCAAAATCAGTGTTCGGTTCG